CAGGGGTTTCCTATAAAAACAAAAAAGTGTACATACTTACATCTTATTAAACAATTTTTCTTATCAAAATGTTGCCCTTTCTTATAAAAAAAATATTTTTAATTTGTCTAAAATTAGTTTATAGAAAAAACTTTCAGTTTATTTCTCATAGTGCAATGGTCGATTTGAATTATATTTTAACTAATCTGTTCTAGTTGATCTAACAAATTTGAGTTTGAAAATTACTTTTCATTTTTAACAGAGGGTTGTTCAAATTGTTTATCACTAATACTAAGTTTACATTTGCAAATAATTTCTTGTTTTTCGTTGCAGATTAGCAAATCTATCTTATGCTACTGTGTATGTGCTTCAGCCTCAACATTTTCTAAAAATCTGACTGTTTGGGTTGAGTATTGAGTATAGTTGAACTGGATGTAGGTACTATTAGCTAATAAAATTGGTACAGAATTTGCAATTAGTCGTTTATGTTTGGAAGCAATTTTACTAAAAGAATCTGGCCAAAAATGATCTTCAAAAAGATAGCGAATTTTATTATCTAAAGATAAAGTAAATTCTTAAAACAGTTTTCACGAATTTTAAAATCGGAAGGATAATGAAAAAAGGTTTTATTTGAATAACCAGCCTGCTGAATATTAGAATAATACTTATTTAAATTAAGGGGCTGAAAAAGATTACTTAATTTTACCAGGGCCAGACATGTTTTGTTACAAATAGGTATATTGAAAATCGATCCAAAATGAAATTATACTTCGTTAAGGCTATAAGAAAACAATGATAAACAAAGTCCTTAAACAAATCTAACACCTTATTAAATTATATTGTTAATACTTACTAATTTCATCAAATCAGCACTTATCAATCTTCTTAACCTAATAATAACTTACCTATCGAAGGATAATTATATCCACAACATCATAATAACCTTTATTTTATGACGGTTTTTGTGCATTTTTCTACTATTTCGTCTTCCGCCATTCCGTTCTTTATTTTTAACGAGGTTATCAACACAGTTGCCAAACCTCTCTTTAAAATATCTCAGCAATAGTATGGCCATTGTATGGATGGTATCGAGCGCGACAAAAACAAAATAAGGTGCAGCTTATGCGTTTGAATTAACTCTAATCTCATGAAACTTTAGGGAAACTGACAACATCGCTGTCATCTTATTTGCGACGGTGGCTCCAAGTAGTATGGCTGGGAACTACCACTTGTTACCAGTGCCGTGCATTTAAACGGTTTATCTTTTAATATTAATTTATCTATGGCGTAGCCCGTTCAGTCCGTTCCCGCCAGTTCCCGGTATATCGCAATAAAAGGTAAATGGTATATCTACAAGTACTGACAAGAATAAGCGGCGATTTGTGATTTTACGTTGGCAAATAGGCAAATCAATCAAATCATAGGTCTAACGCCAGTTTTGCATTTAAGTATTGTGCATACATTGTGTTGTGTTTCCAATGGATTACACAGAAAAGTTGAATAATTGGGGATTACAAGAGTTTGTTGAGAATTTTAAGGGTAAGTACATAACGTATAATATAAAAGTATTTTATATCTACTAATTTATCGGTTGCAAATGTATTGACCCCTCACTTTAAAGTTAATTAAGGAAAAAACAGTAGGTAAAGCGAAAAATCTTGCTAAGTTTTTTCATTAAGATATCAGAAATTCCTTTTCCGATTTTGATGGAACTTGGCAAGGCTATTTTGAGTACTGAGGGTTAAATGTAAGATTAAAATGATTTGTTTCAGTGGCGTTAACAGATATTTCTAATAACACACATGTATATCAGTTTTTTTATATTTTTATTAAATTAAGAAATAGAGAACAAAACTTTGGCATTTTGGCAAATTAAACATGCACATCTGTATAGCGTTTAAGTATACATGAAATAACCTAAAATAAGAAATAAGAATTAGGTAGTAGAAAAGATGGCAAACTTTTATCTTTTTAGAGACCTTATTTTATTTCATTTTGTTTGGAAATTGATAATGCGCATGCCCCAAATGTTTTCTGTTTTAAATGTTCGGGCTTAAGTTTTTTTAATGAATTTTGACAGTTTTAAAAAGGATTCGGTAGATTCATTAATTTTTTGCAACAATTAAAACTGCCTGCTCAAGGTAACAAAATACTTTTTAACTGCAAGAAAAATACTGTTTAACCACTAAAAACCTACCTTTTAACCATAAAAAACTACTTTTTATTGAGTAAAATTTTAATTTCTAACCACTAAAAAGTACGTTTTTAGGGACTAAAAAGTACGTTTTTAGGGACTAAAAAGTACGTTTTTAGGGACTAAAAAGTACGTTTTTAAGAACTAAAAAGTAAGTTTTTTAATGAATTTTAACAGTTTTACAAAGGATTCGGAGACCGATTCATTTTTTGTTGCATTTAACATTATAACCTTAGCTTTTCTAGACCTTAAAAACCTTAAACTAAACATTTCTCCAAAATACTTACCTGATGTTAATTTTTATCTAAATTCTTAACTTTCTGAACTAGGGGAGGGGGGTTTCTAGAATCCACCACTGTTGTTCAAGTTTAATAAAAATCAAAATTTGCGTTTCTGAGATAGTATTAATAAAACATTTTTTTTTCTGTAAAAACTTTGACACCTTATTGTAGGTAGGTATCTCGAAAACAAAACTATTTTACATTTTACTTTCCGAACACAAGTTGAATAGAAAGAAAATTATTGTACCTAACAGTATATTTTAGTATAATTACTTTTTCAAAACTTTTGCCATTGTTGCCAAATTTCAAAAAGTGCCTTTTTTTACTACTTTTTTGAGTTATTGGGCCTTTTATTACCCTGCACAAAATGTTTGCTGGGTTATTACTATCTCGATCAAATTACTAAATTTTATTAACGTTTTGTTGGTGAAAAAGCCATTTTCAGTTTTTTTTTTTTTTTTTTTTTTTTTTAATTAAAAATAGAGTAGAAGAGGTAGGTACATCCATAGCGCAGCTAAGAAATGTTTAAATAAATTAAGTTTGTATATGTTTTTCGTTTTCCAATCCATTCAGTTTTTGTAACAGTCTCCACGTTGCCAGATTCACTAAAAAGTAGAAACTTTAAATAATAATTTTTTAATAATTTAACTTGAAAAAGCTGAGATTTTATAATATAAATATAGTTCAGTGCCAAATTTATTTACTTCTAGAAACACGAAAATTTCATTTTAAAAAAGATATGTTATGCTTTATATGTGCTGCTTAATGAAAAAAGTATTTTTATTGGGAGAATAATTGATTATAACAATTACTTTACTAAAAGTTTTCGGAAAGTTGGGTGCGATTGTCCTCTTCATTTAATTTAAAAAAAAAATGTTTTATGCTAAAAAACAACAGCTATAAAATATTATCCATGTATATATTTTCTATTTGTACAATTAAAAATTTCAAAAACCTTTGCCACCATTGCCAGATTCACTAAAAAGTAAAAAAAATTAAGTAATTTTTAAATAAATATTTTAACTAAAAAAGTCGAGATTTCTGATTATCTTACGATAATCATATACTTCATGAAGTGCAAAATTTAATGACTTAGTGAAAGGTCAAAAAATAATTTATTCATACAGAAGTGTTCGGAAAGTTGGGTAGGATTGCTGCCTCTTTATTTCTTATTTTTGAGACCTATCCACATAGACGTTTGTTATGTTATTTTTTTTGACACTTTGTAAATATAATTTGTGTGTGTTTTTATGAATATCAATATGAATTATTGTTATTATTACGTACACTGACAGTGAAATATTTGTTGTATTTTATTTTAAAATTTTTATTACTACTCGTTTTACTCTGAAGCACTCAAGTTTATAGTAAGTAGGTATGTTTACTTGGCATTAAAAAAAACACTGGTGCAACTTCAAACCAACAATTATGCTGACAACAATGAATTTTATATAGTTGTTATGCTAAATATTGTGGATTTAGATACTTGACTCTGTACCAGATTTGTATGGATGCAATGGTAAATAGGTACCTACTTACTTACAGGAAATGTGGTTTTATCATTTTTGCATGTACTTAATAGGTGTAAAATATAAGCTTCTAATAAAGAAATGCAATAACGAGAGCAATACTAAACAAATTTCCTTGAATTTCAGCCTACATCTTAAGGTTAAAATGTAACTATGTATAAACCGCAAGGGAATTTTAGTGTACATGATTGGCATAAATACTTTGCCACCCATCTGAAAAGTTTATTACAATACCAACTATCTTGATTAATGATGTTCTCCTTTTAAAGTGCATTTTAGAGCATATTGAAACTGTTGAAATAAACTCTTTAGCTTGGTGACAAAATTTACAAGAGCACCTATGACAGAACAGTGTAAAACCATTAGGAATTAGTGGGGAATTTTAGGAACTGAATTAAGGAGATTAGTTGAGGTTTACTCTCCTGTTTATATATTAATATATTTTAGATGAAGGAATATCAGATGAAAGTTTTTCCTTGCTAGACAATGACAAGGAAATAGTAAAGGTCCTTATACCAAAACTGGGTCCCCGGCTAATTTTTTGAAAAAAATTTTTTGAGGAACGACAGCCTGAACCATTTAAAGAATTAGATACATTTTTGGTAAGTAATATTTTTCTAAGAATGTTTAATTTATTTTACAATCTAGGTATAACAAAAAAGAAAATTAAACAAAAAGTTTCCGCAATTATAAATAATCAGTTCTAAATAATGAAAACAAATTCAGTCTCAAAAAAGGAACATTTTTAAAAATATCCAAGTAAAAAAAATTAAAAAAATTCATTTTGAAAAATGAAAAGAAACAAAGTATTGTGAACGGATTAGTGTTATCGTCTTAAAAATTTGTTCGTTTTAGGTCGAAACGTCATCCAACGTATCCACTGATACCATATCCACAGATACATTCACCTCATCAGGTAGCCTATATTCATTTGTAGCAGATGACAATCTCACTCATGCCCTTGACCTAAATCAGTCAAGCCTGTCTGATAAAGAAGATATTGCTGGAGAAGAAAAAATGAAAAGAAAGGCCCATTCCTTTGCAGATATCACAGAAGCCTCAACAAGCCAGAATAAGAAATCTAATGTGTGTATTCCCCATGTATTTCCTCAAGTAAGTATTTAAAATAATTCTAATAATTATATATTAAATCTTTCTAGATATTCTAGTTTTTTTTTTCTTCATAAGAATTCTAAATTCTAAGCCAAACGTTAAACTATACTAATGAATATTTACTTTCCTATAATTTGTAATAATTCTTTTTTAATATTTACTTGACTTCCTATATAATTCGTATTTTTTTAGGGTTTAGAGGCAATTTTGTCAAAATATACAGATGGACAAATTGTCCTTCTGCAGAAAAACAAACTAAACAATTGTTTGAGACAGAAGCTAGTGAAAGTTGTAATTACAGAACTTTTTCCTGTATATGGGCTAGAGTAAGTATTTAATAAAACAAAATATAAAATATACAATGAATAAAAAAATGTATTTTAGGATAAGGGCTGAGGTTTTTACCAAATTGGCTAAGGAAATTGAAGAGTTGTTTCCAAATGAAAATGCAGCAACATATTACCTCCCTTATACAACGTGCAAAGATAAAGATAAAGGAAGGAAATCAATTGGGCCAAGAGGAAAACTATATACAAAATATGTGAATTGCAAAACTCAATTAAGACTTGCTAATGCACAGAAAAACACTCAGAAAGCCCCTAATAAGAAAGTTGAGAGTCCAAAATCAGTATCAGCGAAAACAAGTTTAGAATTTCTCAAGGTAGCTATAGAGCCCTATCCCAAGATTTTGGAAGCATGGGAAGATAGTCTTAGCTTAAGAAAAAAAGTCTACTGCAATGTGTCCTTAGATGTTATTTATAAGGATTTACCTTGCCTCAAACAAAATTTTGGAATTGAACTGGTAAGTTTTTAATTTTAATATTAACTTGCTATAATAGAAAATATAAGTTTCAGAACTTAAAATTTTGTAAACTAGCAAGTTGCTAAATAAAATCTATTATTTAGCAATATTATTGGAAATTAAACTGATTTAATTTTAACAATCTCTTATTATAAATAATTATATATAATAATTCGTTAATTTAATTTTTTCAGATTGAAACAGACTTTAACAGAAAATATCCTGATAGCACGGATATAATATACACAACATGGCCAAAGGTGGCTAAAGCCATACTAAAAGAAGCTCAAGAAAGGAAAATTAAGTTGCCAGAAAGTACAGGTGTGTTGCTTTTTCCATTATATGTATGGCTTATGTCCTACTTATTGTTAGATCGTAGCATTTATCAAAAAAGGTTTACAGAATTTTGAAATGTTGATAAAAAAGAGTTTTAACATTTTCATTTTAATTATTGAAATGTAATTGAAAATACTTTGATTTTAGATGATAATACTCAGGCAATACTAATTCTACCATATCTATTCCAACCAACCACCATTAAAAAATCCAGAAAAGGATGCAATTGGAGACCCAGCAGAAGCGAGATTCAAGAAAGTTTTTTCATTCATGTAGCGGTAAGTAAATATTTTTTGGAAATCATTGTTTAAACTTGTTCTTTTTAAAATTAAAATTTGATCGCTTGAATGTTTCTGAGTAAAGCTACAATCTGGCTCAAAACCTCCAGTTAACAATGAACATAGTGTACTTAAAAACCCGACTCTTTCGAATATCCCCTAGAGGATCCATATTTAAAAATTTAGTGCTAGTACCCTATTCTACCATTTAATTTATATGTAGGCACAATATTATCCATTCGTTCAGGAGGCAGGACTTTTACAATAATAATAATAATAATAATAATAATTTAAAAACTTTTTTTACAGAACGTTTCTGAAATTGATGAAAAGGCAGCCACCAGGAGGGCTAAATTAGCAGAGTATGGCCTGACTTTGCAACCATATGCGTGTGTAATAGGAGATCTAGATAATCTAACCTTTGCCGTGGTGATCGAGGACAACAAATACTTTTTGCAAAGTTGTGTAAGAACAATTGAACTCTTATTTAAATGTTTTTACGCGCTAGATGTGGAGTTTCCTATCGAAAGTGACCAAATTTGGCAGTTTATAAGTGAGGAAATTTTTAAAATTAAATTGCAGTTTAGATCACCCACTGTCGATTCAATGATTAGCGATTTAGCCTTTCATTTAGGCAACGAATTAGATTGATTGAAAAGGCTTTATTTTGAAAATTTCTTTCAAAAAGTATTTTTATAGAATTTTTGGCAATATTGCAGCTTTATTTTCCATGTTTCGTTTAGACAAATTTGTATTTTAGTTTATTTTTTATGTTGATATAATTTTTAAACCACCAGAAACTTATTTCTACTCTTATATTGGCTACTTATTATTACAATGCCGCAGTGCAGTTTTTGTGGTGATTTTTTCTTCAAATGTAATGCACTAATAACACATTTAAAAATACTGCACAGGATAGAAGAAAAGAGTGTTTTTGCATGTGTAGAAAAAGGTTGTAAGAGACATTTTCCAAACCTCAAAAGCTACAGAAAACATATTCAAAGCAAACATGCTTCTGATGTTCTTCCATCAGAACATTTAGAAACACCCGAGACCCTCCCAGAAAGTGATTCTATGAGCAATATTGTAAATTCTGATCTATGTAATTTTGTTATTGAACAGAGTAATTTTCAGTCTCAAGGCGAGTATTCAACTACCCACAACGAGGATATTAATAAATTCTTAATTTTTAAGCAGAAATTATATGAGAATAAAATATCCTTTATTTGTAAACTTTACTCTGAAACAATGTTACCTCGAAAAAGCGTACAACAAATAATAGAATTAATAAACGAGTTGCTTAATGAACCTTTAGAGATGTTTGACAATATTTTTAGTACATTTACTTATAATGACCAAGGAAAATGGCAAATTCGACAATTTTTGGCGGAATTTAGGGATCTATTTTCTGGTTTTGGAAGTGAATATTTGAGATTTAAAATGCTAGAAGAATCAGACCTACTTATAATGCCCATTACTTTTAAAGTTGGTGAACGTATCGAAATTAATAAAAATTCTAATGTAGTTTCAAAACAAAATACTGCTCAATTTGTTCCTCTATCAAAGGTTCTCAAACACTTTTTTTCGTTGCCAGGGGTTTTGTATGAGACGCTAAAATATGTAGAAGATTTAAAATCAAAGAAAGATATATTTAATATAGTTCAAAGTAATTTATGGAAAAATAAAATATCAAACTTTGATGAATCTGACATAGTCTTTCCCATATTTCTATACTATGATGATTACGAAACTGGAAATCCATTAGGGTCACATTCTGGCATTCAGAAACTAGGAGCTATATATTGTTCAGTAGCTTGCTTGCCTCCCAAATACCAATCAGCCTTGGAAAACATTTTCTTGGTAACTTTATTTCATTCTTCAGATTTTAAAGAATTTGGAGCAAATGCTATTTTTCCTCGGTTGATTGAAGAATTAAACTCTTTGAGATCTGATGGAATAAAAGTAACATTGTTGGACAAGGAATACCAAATATATTTTAGCGTTGTCCTTTTTTTAGGTGATAATCTTGGATTAAATTCCATTTTGGGATTTCAAGAATGTTTTGTATCAAATTCTTTCTGCAGGTTTTGTAAATCTTTTCGAACTGATACTCAAAGCCTTTTGGTTCAAAATGATTCCACTTTGAGAAATAAAGAAAATTACCAGCATGATATACTTTTAAATTATCCTTATCAAACGGGTATTAAGACATTTTCAATTTTAAATAATATACACGGCTTTCATGTTACTGATAATTATTTTGTAGATATTGCTCAAAATATATATTTTGAAACTGATACAGGTTTTTTAAAAACAATTTTATTGATTAAAATTACAAACGTCTTTTCTTGGCAAAGGCTAGACAAAATCTGATTTAATAAACTAGAGAATTAATGTAAAAGATTAAAATAACAAGCTAAGCACTGAAATATAATATGATACGATAAGGAGTCCGAATGTCAGCTGTATACGCTCACGTAACTCCTCCGTCCTTAAGACGCAAAAATAAGGGAGTTATTTTTGCGGTCTGAATTTTCTGGAATTTCCTCCATGTTGAGGGCTTCTTTTTCTTTCGTTTTTGAATTTTGGCATCTTCTTCTTACAAAAATGTATAAAAATACCATTATACATAAAATTATTAATGTTGAAAATATTGTTAATATTGGAATTTGGTAAGAGTCCTTTGGTTCATCTATTGGCGATAGCTGATTGGCGATTCTATTGATTTCGTATAGGTTGTCGAAATTTATTTTACTGATATTTGAAGTTTGATAATTTCTTCGAATTTTAAAAAGTTCAATTTTGAGTTTTGGTAGAATTAGCGTTTTTCCCTTTTGAATTTCTTGTTCATTTGAAAATGTAAAATCTCTTGACGTGATTTTACAGCCTTCTGGAATGCGAATAAGGGTTGGATTCTGAATTTTGAAAATTTGGTTACTTCTACAATACGACTTAACGTTTTCTGGTTCTTTGGGAACAATCATGATTTGATTGCTAGCAACTTGTTCGAATATTGATTCTTGCAAATTTACTTCAGTGGCGTAGCATCCTTCTGGTAACTGGCCGTCGAGAAGTTGTAAAGTACAGTTATCCCTCGGGATAAAATCTTGTAGACAATAGTAGGTATTTTCAAGTTTTGGGCATTCTTCTTTTTTCAATTGGACTTCTTCTTTGTTGCGTGCCAAGTATGGATATGAAGGTGTGAACATTTTATTATTTTGGATAACGGGATATATTTGATAAAATTCTAAGGATTCGACTTTTGAGATAGGGACGTGGATAGCAAAAATTAATTTTAATTTGGAGAAGGTAACTTGAGTACCAAGAAAGGTATAGTATGTTAAGATATTATTAAAATTTGGAATTTCTTGTTTTTTGTAAATTTTCTGTAAATATTTTATCATGTCTGAAATTTCATAGCTCGATATTATAGAGCTGTGCAGAGTGTTCATTTTGGAAAAGAGAATTGCATTTTCAATATTGTCTATAAATGATATTAAATTTTGACAGTCAAGGTTTATTTGGCTTATTGTTCCTTGAAAGGTTATATATCTGCTTAAAGAGTCAATTTCGTTATATATTGCGTCTTGGAATCTTTTTAAATTATCGTGAAGTTTTTGTTGATTTTTCCATAATATTGTTAATGATTGATTATAATGATCTATCAATTTTTGAAATAGTGAAGTTTGTAAGTTAATTTCGTTTGTTATCTGTTTTTGATTTCCCTGCAAAATTTTAATGGCACTGTCATAGCGGTCTCCATCATCAGAGTCGAGGTTGCCAAAAAGCCACTTATTGACTTTTCCAACCCCGTTTATTATACCTCTTTTTGAACGCATATGAGGATATAAATTTTGAAATTTTCTTCCTAAGGAATTAATCAAAAATTCTGTTCTTTCAAGCATATTTTCACTCAAGCCATGGTATGAAATAGGGTTCGAAACGTTACTTTTTACTACAGATTGTTTAATTATAGAAAAATGATTATGCAATAATTCTATTTGTCTAAGAACTACTTTTAAATCTAAGTAATGGATAAATGTGTGCTTTGTGTAAATTAACCTAGCGTTGCCTAACTCTATGGGAAGAATAAGATTTTCTAAGGGGGTTATACTTATTTCTTCGGTACTACATTCTATTTTAGACGTTTGAAGGACCAGGTACAGCAGGATCATCAGTGATTTCATTGTCCTGGTTATCCTGTAAAACGTTTTCTAAATTAATTTTAGGTTTCCTAATTATACTCTTATGATAGGTGCCTTTGTTGGTTTTCAACAAAACACCGTTGTCTTCAATTATTTCTGTCTTTTTGAATTTGGGCAATTTTTTATCACGTAATTTTGTACGAACGTAAGCAATTTCTTGACCTGAATAGTCGGGAGGATTAAAACGACTTTCATTGGCTTTATTAATTAAATTTTCTTTGACTTTTTCATTACGTTCTTTGATAATATTATAAAGTTGTTTGCTAGCTTCCTTGTGGTTTTGAACATAAAAGGAAAGAATGTGATGATCATCGAGATCGAAAGGATCAGGGTTATTAATATGGCCTTTAGTAATTTCAAATGGCGTGAATTTCGTAGCAGAATGTATCGAATTATTATAACTTAATATTGAATGCTTAATTAATTGATTTGGTGATAATTCGTTATTTTGTTCTCTTAAGCACCTATAATGCTCTATTAAACTAGAGTGAAAACGCTCTACTGGAGAATTTGAGGTGCTATTTTTTGCCGTAGTGAAATGAAGTTCTATTTTGTGCAACTTGCAAAAATCTTCAAGGTCCATGTTTTTAAATTCGGTACCACAATCCGCGGTTATTTTGTAAGGGAGTCCGTGATGGGATATAAAATTTAATAAATTATCAACAATTGAGATACCACTGACAGTTTCTAAAGGATATGCTTGACCGTATCTTGAAAATGAATCGATTATAGTAAGGTAAGGGGTATTAGATATTCGAAATACATCTATATGTACATGATCGAAAGGTTTCGATGCTGTTGGGGTTAAGTTAAATTTTACAATCGGGGGATTCCGATCATATTTGTTTTTAAGACATGTTTCGCAATTATTTACAAATTCTTCTATGTCTTTTGAAATATTCGGCCAATAATAAAATTTAGTTAAAGATAATTTCAATTCATTAATACCACGATGTCCTTTTTTATAGACATGATAATATTCTAATTTTTCTTTTTGAGCTTCTATTGTTAGGAGGTCATTTAAAAATTTCGTACAGTGAATAAGTTTAAAAGCAGAATGTTTGAAAAATTTCTGCAGAACAGTTACAAAGATTTCAGCTAGGTGAGAAATTTTGAAATACAAAGCATATGTACTTTTGGGATTTAAAAATTCTCTAGCAAATTTTACAATACTTTCTTCTAAATTTCTTTGAGATAAGGTAACAAGAAATCTTGTATTTTCAAATAATTTTTCTCTTTTATAGAGAGTTTCGGTGTTATCACCACAAGTTAAAATAATTTGATTTTTATATTGATTAACGGCACGATCCGTTATCGGTATTGAAAGAATTGGATTTTCAATAGAAGTGTGTACTGTTTCTAAGTCAGTACTTTGTCGTCTCTCTATTGGTGGTTTAATTTGAACGTTTTGTAATATTTTTACTTTAGGGGTGTCTTTTATTATTTCATTAATATCGTTTACCGATAAATTTGGTAACTCATTAATATCTTCAAATTCTTTTTGAATTATTAAATCTAAATCGTCTAAATTAACATCTAAAGATGCTGTTTCTAGAGCGTTTAAATCATGTGTAGGGGGTGCCCTCGATAAGGCGTCGGCTACATAATTAAGTTTTCCTTTTAGATATTTAATATTATAGTCAAATTCTTCCAGCTTTAAGCGCCAGCGCATAAGCCGAGAGTTTGGCTCTTTAAGGGAGAACAACCACTCCAATGGCTTATGATCAGTGAGAATTTCGAATGTTCGGCCAAATAAGTAAGGACGAAAATATTTACATCCCCAAACTACTGCAAGTAACTCTTTTTCGATTACTGAATAATTTATTTCGGCCGAATTTAACGTTCTAGAGGCATAGCATATAGGGTGATTATTTTGAGTTAAAACTGCTCCGATTGCATACATCGATGCATCGGTCATTATTTCGAAAGGTTTTTCGAAATCCGGATACGCTAAAATCGGTTCCGATATTAACAAATTTTTACAATAATTAAAACAATTAACAAATTCCCTCGTATGTTCGACTTTATTATCTTTTTTCAAACAAATCGTTAGGGGTTTTGTTATTTTCGCAAAATTTCGGATAAACTTGCGATAGTAGCCAAGGAGGCCAAGGAAGGACTTTATTTGTTTTTGCGTTTTAGGAATTGGAAAATTCTTAATGGCATGAACTTTATTTGGGTTGGGTTTAATACCCTGTGGCGTTACCACGTGTCCCAAAAATTCTACCTCTTTTCGCAGAAACTCGCACTTATCTAACTGAATTTTTAACCCCGCTTCTTTTAATTTTGAAAATACTAATCTTAAATTTTGCATATGTTCTTGTAATCCCGTGCTGAAGATAATTATATCATCCATGTATACAAGACATGCTTTATTCTGAAGGTCCTTTAAGACCTCGTCCATGACTCTTTGGAAGGTACTCGGAGAATTTCGGAGCCCCATTGGCATCCGTAAAAACTCGTAATGCCCGTTATCGACATTAAACGCCGTTTTTTCAATAGAGCATTCACCCATCTCTATTTGATAGAACCCACTTGCGAGGTCGAGCGTACTAAAATATTGCGCTCGCCCCAATTTATCTAAAATTTCATTAATATTAGGTATTGGGTATCTATCGGAAATTGTTTTTTCATTTAGCTTCCTGTAATCAACGACGAGACGCCATTTTTGCCGCCCCGACGCATCCAACTTTTTTGGTACAATCCATATGGGAGAGGACCATGGGCTAGAAGAGGGTTTAATTATCCCCTTTTCTAACATTTCATCGATTTGCCGACGCACCTCGTCTTTAAGGGCGTACGGATACCTATAGGACTTCACATGTACGGGTTCTTCGTCCTTCGTTTTTATTTTATGTCTTACTTTGGAAGTGAAAGTAAGCGGGTCACCTGGTTTCAAGAATATTTCTGGAAATTGGCGACATAATTTAATAATATTAATTTTCTCTTCTGAGTTCATATGCTCTATTCTTAATAGGTTTTGGATATCGTTTTTATTTATTTTAGTTTTAATTGAATTATTAAAGCATTCAAATTTGTAAGTCTCAAAATGACTTGATGTATAAGGATTTGATTTAATTGGTTTCAATAAAGTGATAGATATATTTTTATCAGTTTCATTAATGACTTCGACTAAAGCGAGCCCATTATTTGATTCAGTTAGAGTTTCTGGAATATATATATCTCCTAATTGAGTTTTATCAATTAAAACATCGCCGTTTAAAATAGTTACCGGGATTTGTTTTAATATTCGTTCAAAAGGACCAACCGAAATTTGATATTTTATATCATGTGGTTGTCTAAATTTTATTGGAATCCTAACGCGATCACTAATTAATTGTTTATTATTTAAATCTATATTAAAATTCATTGCAATAAGGTCATTAATACCTATAACCCCGTCAAAGAATTCGTGGAAATCATAAAGAATACAAGTCAATATATGATTATCGTTAAATTCACGGAAAGCTGGAATATCAGCTTGATATTTAATATTTTTAGTACCTAGAGATGTTGAAAGAGATACATTTGAATGATAAATCGTGTTTGGGTAAAATTTCTCTGCAATAATGGGTTTTAAAATGGATTTAGTACTTCCGGTATCAATTAACATTCTTAATGGTGGGTTATAAATTTCAATATATGGCAGAGGGTTATTAGAAGTTATGTTTAATTCTACTAAGTCTGATTCTCTATCGAGGCTGGGTTCTGAAAATTTGGATTACAATCATTATCAAATTGCTGATTATTTTCTTCACTTTGTAAAAATGAATTATCATAATTATCTGCTTCTATTTGATTTTCACCGTAGTCACTAAGAAATAGTTCTTCAGATATAAAATTACGCTTTTGATTATTATTTTGGAAAAAATTATTAGACCTATTATTTGGGTTAAAAGTTCTTTTACTATGCATTGATGGGATTCTCGAAGTGGTTGACATTGGTTGAGGTTTAGGAAGTTCATTCTGTGGAATCGAATTGGGTTTAAACACATTTCGTGGGGGTCCAAAAACTTGTGCGTTTGTTGGATAATTACGATGCTGAGGGCGTGGTTGAACATTTATAGGTTGACGCGACCATACAGGTTTTTGAAAATTTGATTGTTGGGATTGATTTGCGTTTGAATTTGAAAAATATTGTTGATTTGTCGCATTAAAATTTGGGTTAAATTGTGAATTAAATTGTGGATTTGGTCGATAATTATTATTATTATTTGCTTTAGGAAAATTTTGAAACTGAAAGTTATTTTTCGGAGTATTTAATTTTGAGTCGCAAGGATGCGTATAAAGACTCTCAAAATTTTCATATTCGTTAACATAGGCTATAGCGTCTTCTAAAGATGCGGGTTGCTTCAGGTGCATATTATTTTTCAATGTACCTGTGCACCCTGCAATAAACGTATTTAATGCGGTTTTGTCACAGTGGTTCATATTACAAATTCTTTCGTTTGCACTAAAATTGTTATCATTACTGATTCTCTGTACTATACTACTCCTCAACAATTGCAATCGAGTCCCAAATTCTATCAAACTTTCATTCCTGTACGGTTTGGTCCTAGTTAATTCTTGGATAAGACAGTCTAAATTACGTTTATCGGAGAAACATTGCCTCAGTGCATTTTTTAATAAATTCCAATCGGTTAATTCCACCCTATTTCCGACCATAAACTCGGCTTTTCCTATTAATTTACCCTGTATGCAATCGAAAATATGATCACTTAATTCCCTATCATTATAACTACTATATGTTGCCATTAATTTTTAGCATTGAGAAATAAATTTATTTAATGTATTAACATCGCCATCATATGGCCTAATATTTTCTATTTTAGATTGAAAAAGCTCCCAATTAATGGGACGTTTTTCCGGTGTTGGTGTCATCTTTGCGACTGTACTAGAAATAAGTTTATTTTCTGATGTATTTAAACTAAGGTTATCAAAAAGATTTAAAAGATCAGATTCGCTCATAAAATATACTGTAAATAACTATACTTTTCTTTAAATATCTTAACTACTATCTCCCTGGTCCTCGAAAGGGATTTAAGGAAGGCAAAAGGAACTTGGCACTTACCACGATGGTTTAGGGAACCAGTTTCCTCTCCTGAGCTTCTGTCTGCCGTCTGGATCAGCTCCAATTTGTCACCACTGAAGGGTAGGTTCGTTGAATTCACGATTACGACGTTGAAACGTCTAAGTCCCAAAAATAACTGTTTTTTCGTAAGAATCGATTTTTCACAATTTTTCTGCGACCTCGCGAATCCTACTGACTGCGCCAAATATATATTTTGAAACTGATACAGGTTTTTTAAAAACAATTTTATTGATTAAAATTACAAACGTCTTTTCTTGGCAAAGGCTAGACAAAATCTGATTTAATAAACTAGAGAATTAATGTAAAAGATTAAAATAACAAGCTAAGCACTGAAATATAATATGATACGATAAGGAGTCCGAATGTCAGCTGTATACGCTCACGTAACTCTCATGACATTTTTGAAGGGGTGGGTGTTACTGTTATGTCTTACTTATTGAATCAATTTGTTTGTGTTGACAAATTTTTTGAATTAGAAACTCTTAATGATAGGATTAAATTTTTTAGTTTTTCTGGCAATCACAATAAGCCTCCTTTGATAACGGCAGATAATTTAAAAAAAAGACCTTAAAAATTTCAGCATCAGAAATGAAAACATTTAGATTAAACGCAGGATTAATTTATGGAGACTTAGTTCCTGAAGGCAACAAGTTTTGGTACCTTTATATATTGCTCAGAAGAATTGTGGACATTGTTCTTAGTGATTTTGTAAATTCAGATATGTCCTTTAAATTAGCAAGTTTAATTAATGATCATCATTATTTATTTCTTAAATTATTTTCTACAACTCTAAAACCCAAATTTCACTTTATGACACATTATCCACTGATACTCAATGAATCTGGACCTTTAAAAAAACTGTCAACTTTAAGATTTGAATCTAAACATAGGAGTTTTAAATTATCAGCTAATGTTGTGGCATCTCGTGTAAATATTACTCTTACCCTAGCTTTAAAACATCAACTAAAACTAGCCTCAAGATTTTCCGAATTAAAAGGTTTTGTGGATCAATTATACTTTAATTCGAAAAGTGAGTCTACAAACTTAAAATCCGTTATTCCTGATCTTGAAAATGTTATAAAAGTTTCAGATTATCTTAACCCTGAAAATTTAGACGAGTTTGAAAAAGAAGTAATAGTTTTAGATAGAATTTTGGTAGGCAATAAAGTATATAGCAAAAATGACGTAATTTTAATCGAAAAAACACCCCAAGCCATTTTTGGAAAAATTTTTAAAATAATTATTAACAATAAATCACAGATATTATGTCTGTATAATAAAGTTAGAACGTTGGGTTTTAGTGAACACTTTTTTTCATATTTAGTTGATATCACAAATACTCGTAACTTAGTTTTTTTTGATGATTTGTTTTCCTTTGATACATATGTCATCATTTCAAAAGGTGGTTTTAAATATATATCAATATAAATTTTAGTTTTAAGTTTCAAAAAGACTTATTAAGATTAAGATGTTTTGACTGTTATTTGTATAGGTACTACTTCATATATCGGGTGGGTAATTAAAGATGTACCAATTTAAAAAGCCGTTCGGAAGATTTGTCATACCGACTTTTTTCCAGAGCAAAATGGGTGACTTGTGCCATGGTGCTCATCTGAAACTGATACATATATTCAAGCCTCTAAATTCTCAATATTTGACATTACAATCATTTAAAACTTTTAATTTTAAAATCGAACCCCGGTTTTACACTATCCAATTTTTGCGTGAATAAATTCGTAAAGTTCTGCTGCATAAAAGTATGGCTAAATTTACGCTGAATAGCCAAACGACCTAAACACTGAACAGTGGCTGTGCTGGAAATTTAAATAAAATAAAAACTTTCTCATTTATCAAAATAGAAAAATTAAAAATATTTTTTGTTAATAAGTTAGTACCTACTATTGAACTTCTCGAATTTATTCTCGCAAAAATTGTATAGTGTAAAACCCTGTATATTACATTTTGGATTTTACAGACAATTTTATCATTATTATTATTAGATGTCAATAAGTCAAACGGCCTTTGTAGATATTAAGAGAGGATCGTTTGAAATGGCCCACCCGGTAGATAAAAGAAGAACGCTCTGTTTTTATGTAATATAATATTTTTATTATAACTTAAACATCTCTTTTATTTTTGAAACCCTTCCTTTTATTATGTTGATCCGTATTTGAATCACTGGTTAAATGAAGCTTTATGTAAATTATGTAGGTATATATTAGGTAAATTTTGAGCTATAAAATATAGTTTTTAATGCATGGCTAAAAACAAATTTTTCTATTTTTAAAGGACTGGTTTCATTATGAACAAATAGTTCAGTTATCCTCGGTAAAACTGGAAATTTTACATTTAATACATGCAAAACATCCTTGTATTTCGACTTTAACTGAACTTTATTTGTTTATAGAAAAAAGCTCTACGGACCGAAGAACCCAGTCCTAAATAGTAAAATTCGCTTTCAACCATCAAAAACTACTTTTTAAAGGTACAAATTAACTATAAAATCATTAAAATCTACTTTTTAAAAGTAAAAAGTTACTTTTAAACCACTACACACTACTTTTTAACCACTAAAAACTATTTTTTAACCACTAAAAACAATTTTTTAAAGGTAAAAATTAATTCTTTATCAACTAAAACTACCTTTTAATGGTAAAAAGAATATTTTTTAATTTCACAAAAGTACTTTCTTAAACAGTACCTAATTTTTAACCAATAAAAACTATTTTCAACCGCTAAAAACTACTTTTTAACCACTAAAAATATAATTTTTAACCACTAAAAACTATTTTTAAATGATAAAAAATAACTTTTTAATAATTAAAACTAGCTGTTAAAGACAACAAAATACTTTTTAACTACAAGAAAAATACTTTTTAACCACTAAAAACTTACTTTTTAACCATTAAAAACTACTTTTTAGTGAGTAAAATTTTACTTTCTAACCACTAAAATTAATAAAAACTAAAAAGTATGTTTTTAGGGACTAAAAAGTAATTTCAAAAAAGTGAATTTTTTAACCGTAGCAAAGTACTTTGTTTTTTTTAAGGGTTAATACATTTTTTGATACAGCAGCAAAAAATTTCCCTCGGTGTGAGACAAAAAGAGTTCTAGCCTATAGCACTTTTTTAATAATTTTAAGTAATAAACAGAAATTATAGACCATTATAAGGAGTTCTAGAATACATAGCACTTTTAAATAATAACTTGATTCTCTCTGCATTGAGATCCAAAGAGTTCTAGCTTCTAGCTGTTTTTCAGCAATTTTAATTATTAATATCACACAGAAATTATAGACCATCTTGAGATGCTAGCACAATATAACGAGTTATAGAATACATAACTTTTCTAAATAATAACATGACTCTCTCTGTAAAGAGTTCTAGTCTCTAGAACTTTTTCATTAATTTTAAGTGACCAACAGAAATTATAGACCAAAGTGAGATGCTGATACCTTATGACCAGTCCTACGATGTAACTAGACTATCTCTGCATGGAACCGGATAAGTTCTAGCCTCCAGCAATTTTTCAATAAGTTTAGGTAAAAATAATAAACAGAAATTACAGTGAGATGCTGGATACAGTAAGACGAGTTATAGAATGTATAATGCATCTCAATGATAAATAGACTATCTCGACATGGAACCCCGAAGAGCTCTATCCTCTAGCACAGTTTGAAAAATTTTAACTATTAATAATAAACTGAACATATAGACTATACTAAGATGCTGTCATATTCTGACGAGTTCTAAATCCTGAAGAGTTCTACCCTCTAGCACTTGTTGAATAATTTTAAGTAATAATAATAAAAAACAGAAATTATAGAATATAGTGAGCTGCTGTCATATTATGACGAGTTCTAGAATATATAATGCTTCTAGACAATAAATTGACTCTCTTTGCATTGAGACAGAGTAGTTTATTATTTAGAAGCGTTATATATTCTAGAACTCGTCATATTGTGCCAGCATCTCATTATAGTATAAAATTTCTGTTCGTTATTAGAACTTACAATTATTGGAAAAGTACTAGAGGCTAGAACTATTTAAGATTACATGCATAGATTGTCTTGTTATCATTTAGAAGTATAGAAGTATATATTCTGGAACTCGTCATAATGTGTCAGCGTCTCATTATGATTATAATTTCTGGTCATTATTAATACCTACAAGTTATGTATTTTCACGCTCGCAAAATGCTACATAGAAAGTGAGGCTATAAGTTTTGGCATTGGACTATGGTGCACAACTAGCTCATAAATGAGTACTACGTTTACTAATCATCTGAAGAAGGGAGCGCAGTGTATAATTTATTAAACCTTAAAATATATTTTACTAAAAAAAATCCTAATATTCATAATTAAAAAGAAATGCGAAATTCGAGCAAAGTAAGTAGTCCATACATTATGTACGTTTTATCATAAAAAAAACCTTTGTTTATAATAATAATATAATATAATAATAATAATATGTTTATTCAAATATTTTAAAAGTACAAACCTAAATACATAATCATACGAATAAACATGAAACACCGCAGAAACTGAATACAATCAGTTTGTACGCGGGTAAATATAACAGGTTAAAAAATACTTATATAAAATTAAATAATTAAATTTACAATTACTATCTTAACTTTAAAACAACTATTTATTTACTTATTTATATACATTACTTACCTACAAATACAGAACGAAATCAGTTAATATATAAATTAAAAATTAAAAATAGGGTTACAATCAAAAATAAAAGTCTAATCCGTGAAGTGAGGTCTCAAATAGTTAATTTTTAACTATCTTAAGTTTTTTTCCTTATTATTACTATTATATTTGTTTTATTTATTATGTGTATCTGTAACACGTATAATTAGAATGTTAAGCATTCATTTATAATCTGATGGAATAAATATCGATCCGTCTCTAAAATCCAGTTTTTAAGTTTAGTTTTGTAATTAAGAAAATTTTTAATTTGTTTCAGTTCCTTTGGAAAATAATTAAATAATTTAGAGCTAATGTAGTTGCAACTGTGTTGACCTATTGATTTATTGCATTTAGGAAGCTGTGTTTTATATTCTTTGTTGCGTGTTTCATAATCATGTTTTGCGCATTGTATTAAAATTTTCTCTTTATGAATATTAATAAGTATTTTAAACGCAAATAATTGTCGTACATCACATATTTTATTCTGTTGATATAAGAGATTACTTGAATATATAATTGGTTTATTATAAATTATTCTTAACATCCATTTTTGTATAATATGTAATTTGTTTATGTATATATCTAACACACCTCCCCATCCTAATATACCATACTGAAGCAAACTTTGTACTAAGGCAAAATAAATCATTTTTAGGTGTTGTGTATCCAAAAAGTCTCTTAATAATTAAAATCTAGATAAAAGGCATCTGATTTTATTCGTTAAATTATTTATGTGCAAGTCCCATCTTAGGTGCCTATCTATAATTATTCCAAGATATCTGATGGAGTCTGCTTCTGGAATTTCAGTGTCTTTATCGATAATTAATGGACCAAGTATTGGTAAGCCCGAAACATAGGATGAAAAAGAAAGGTATTTGGTTTTTTTAATGTTAAGAGTGAGGAGATTATATGCAAACCAATTTTTTATTTCAACCATATCTTCCTATGCCTTTTGTTTTAGCAACTGCCATGATTGTTCTTTATATAAAATAGCAGTGTCATCGACGAAACTAATTGTACTTCCTCTCGTTTTCATTTTTAATAAACTGTTAATATATAACGTAAACAGGATGGGACCTAAAACTGTTCCTTGAGGAACACCATATACAACATTTTTTTGTTTGCTGGCAACATTGTCTATTGAAACGGTTTGCGTTCTATCAGTTAAGTAACTTTTTATTAGACTATAAGTATTTCCTCTTACACCATATGAATAAAGCTTATGTAATAGTTTGTTATGACAAACAGTATCAAATGCTTTAGAGAGGTCTATAAATATGCAAAGAGTAGTTGTCTTTTTATCAAGTGCATTATATATTTCTGAAGTTAATTTTAAAATTGCATCTTCTGTTGACTTACCTTCTCTAAAGCCATACTGTTTGTCACTAATTATGTCGTTGGCTTTAAAAAAACTTGTTAATCGGAATTTTAAAATTTTTTCTATAATTTTCGAAATATTAGAAATTAATGATACAGGTCTGTAATTTGATATTTCACTTTTATCCCCACCTTTATATAATGGTTTGATCATTCCTGTCTTAAGTACTTTAGGGAAAATTCCTGTTTCGAATATTTTATTAATAATATAGGTAAGTGGTTCCTTTATTTCATATGATATTTGTTTAAGCGTTTCGGCTCTTAGATTATCAGCTCCAGGTGATTTTTTATTGTTTAATGTATGAATGGTATTAAATACTTCAGTGACATTAGTTGGAAATAAGTACATTGT